CTGATGGGTGGGATTGCAGTACTTGTTGGCTGTCTTGTTGATCGTTTTTCGGGACGGGTTCGTCGCCGTGATCTTCATCTCCGTCAAAATACTTTGAATTGCAAAATGGTACCAAAGCCGTATTTAGGAAGATAAAAATGTTTGCGGAAAATGGTGTCTTCGGGAAAGATTTGATTGGTCATTTCTTTATGTATGGTGAAAGTTGAGTGGACCCTATGGTTATTGAGTTCAAAATATAAACTTTTTTTGTTATTTGAGATAGACAAGAGCAATGTTCTACAAAGTTGTAGAACAATTCATTTTAAACAACTTGACTATTTCCTATCTCTAATAGTCTTCGTTTTAAATTTTCAAAAGGGCAACTTAGGGTGACCCTTTAAAATATTTGTTTTGTTTTTTTTTTCATTAAGTCAATGTATTTTCGCGCAAATGATTGGTTCTAGACTTTTTGAAGTACTTTTAATGGTGCATGGTTTTGCTCATACATCTAAGTTGGTATCTGTTTTTGTTGGACGGTAATAAATTATTTTAGTTGAAAAATATGCTATTTTCAAATGATTATAAATCAACATGGAGTTGATGGATTTTTAGGCCATTACAACTTTGTCAAACGTTGTGTTGATCTATCTTAAGTTTTAAATTGAAAATAGGGGGGTCCCCATGGCTATTAAGTCCAAAATATAAACTTTTTAGTTAAAGTCTGCAACGCGCAAAAATTGGTCAACTTCAAATTGGTGTATTTCTGCTAAAAATCCATAAAAAAAACTGAAATGCTGCATTTGGAAGTTGAGTGTATATACAATGGTTGCTATGATGAGTTTTCACCGTTTGCTCTTCAGTTTTCAAAATGACGTCCAAACAAGAGGAGCAGCGTGTCAAAATCCGACGTTCTCACACGTCAAGTTGGCAAAATTGCTGGATGTGGCCAAATCGACCGTGACAAACGTTTTAAAAGTGTTCGAGGAGCGTCTGTCGACCGCCAGGAAGCCTGGATGCGGCGGAAACCATAATCCGGACGTGGCAACGACGACGAAGAAGGTTGTGGTGAAATATAAGCGGAATCCTTACCTGTCTATACGGGACGTCACTGGCAAGCTCAATGTCTTCCATACTACTGTGCAGTGGGCCAAGAAACGAGCCGGGCTGTCAACGTTTAAGAAGGTGGCGAACCGAGATTACAAACAAAACACGTCGGCAAAGCAGCGGTCCCGAAATCTGTGTACGAATCTGCTCACAAAGTTCGACTGAAGTTGAAGTTTCAAGCATCTTCCGGGACAGGAGTTTTATACCGCATCAGGAAAAAGGAAGGTGACTGAAATTTTCAAAACCATCAAACTATCGAAATTCCCGAAAAAATATCTCGTCTGGCAGGCCTTATGCACGTGTGGTCTAAAAAGCGGCATTTTAATTTCTACGGGAACCATCAAACAAGATATCTACATCCAGTAGTGCCTGGAAAAGCGGCTGCTACCATTCCTAAAGCAACATAATAGATCTATGCTGTTCTTGCCGGACTTGGCGAGCTGCCACTATGGGAAAAAGGCTATCGAGTGATACGATGCGAACAACGTGGTTGTTGTACCCAAAGACCACAACCCTCCCAACAGCCCAGAACTCCGCCCTATCGAACGGTATTGGGCCTTGGTCAAACGGAATCTCAAAAAATCTAATAAATCCATGGAAAACAAACAGCAATTTAAATGTAACTGGCGTTCGGCGGTGCATAAGGTCGAAATTGGTGCAAAATTTAATGGAGGGGTTAAGCGGAAGGCACGGCAGTTTGGATTTGACAAACCAAAAGAATAAACGAACATTTTTTCCTTTAAATATATGAATTGAACGACAAAAAAATAAATAAAAAGATTTTTTGTTATGAATTTTGACTGAAAGAAACGATTTTTTTGCCAACCAATTTTTGCGCGTTCCAGTCTTTATTTGAGACAAGGGCGTAGCCAGGTTTCAAATTAGGGGGAGGGAAAACATTTTTTTTCATGGAGAATTAGGTTAGACGTCGATTAGCTGAACACCATTATATCGAACGCTATTATACCGTATGAATTACTAATTCGATCGTCATTTAACCGAAATTTAATTTTCAGTCATACTTCGGCACATGTCATCGGTATTTTATGAATATGTATACAAATACAACATGTTTATGAACATCCAGTATCCAAGGTGCCAGAACCTTTCAAAACTCTAGAAATTGTCTTCAAGTTTCAAGTTTTTTCTAGTCGTATTAAAATTAAGTTTGTTTTATGTCTTACAATCCCCTGATTTTCAACTCCTGGATCTTTTTAATTTCCCTAGAAAGCCCTAACAACATTTTTTTTTTTAATATTCAAAGAATTTGCTTAGTAAAACGTTTCAAGTTATCTCATTCAAATTATTGATAAAGATGACGGGAATCATGCTCAATAACATTGGGAAGAAAACCAGAATTAATAATTAACCAGGGTGGAGAAGTGATAAATTGGTTTTACAAATTGTTCAAGAAATCTAAAGCTTGCGATAAATTAAGATCCAAATGATAGATTTTTTAAGGTAACGAACTCATGTTTTATTCGATATCTGAATTTTATTTTTTGAGATTTTTGAAATTCAGAGTCTAATATAATTTAAATTTTTTCCTGCTTCGGTAAATGTTGAGCATTTCGAACATAATTTTTATGAACCAATTCTTATAAAAGGATCATAACCTTGTAATAATAGTTCTTTTAATGTTGTCCATATAATCAACTCTAAATGATTAGCATTTAGAAAATTTTGCAATATTTTGTGACTCCGACAATTGAGCAAAGCAAAATGCTAAAACATCTTTAGTATTCCTAATTTAAAATTTTTCATAAATCGTATAATCATAAAGATATTGCGCGTTTTTTCGCATGAAAAAGATTTTAATATGCTACAATATGTTGAACGTTCAGTACTCAAAGATTTCTTCTTTTTATCGAAGACATTTCCAATTCCTAATCTCATCTCATCTAAAATTCTCAGTCCTTTAACAAAAACTAAGAATCATGAGGTTTTCTGTATTCTGTAGTCTGTATTTATTAAGTTGCTCTAAAACTGATTTCTAGATGTTAAGCGTCAAATAACATGCTTAAAGTGGCTATTTTATACGATAGATGGAGGAGATGAAAGTATAGAGTTGATAGTTCCGTTAGAGTACGGCGGTGTGAAAATTGTATATAGAGTGTAGGAAGAGAGCAAGGACAACTTTGAGGAAGGTACGAATCGGGTTGATCATCTCTCTTTACCAAACTCCCCAGTTGGAGAGGGATAGTGAGGGGGATACACGTCACGGTAATTTAAGAGACAAATAACTGCTTTCTCTAGAATATATTCCTTCTTTAAATCATGAAGAGAATTGGGAGAATTGTCTGAACAATACTTGGTCTTTTGGAATCTTCAGATCCTTAAATTTCTAGTATAAGCGAACAGCCGAAAACAAAAGCGAGGTATGTTTCAACTTTTGCGCAGCACAAATGACAATGGCGTGAACAGTAGTAGCGACGAAGAAAAAGCCTCAAATGCTTTCTTTATTCGTAGCGAAATAAGCTTGTTTATACTAAACGCATATTAGTGAAACTTTAAATATATCAAAGAAATATGTGTTGACCATCAATGATCAACTCAAGGAAATTCAACTTTTAAATTGACTATTCCGATTACGCTCCAAATTGTATTGATAATTAAGGGATACTTAATCAAACAGCAACCCAGATTTCAGAATATTTCATGTACATCCGAAAAAGTTACAGCTCTTTGAACTTTTTGTCATGTCTAATGAAATTGCATCCATAGGTGGTTCACTAAAGGTAAAGGGTACACTATAAGAGCAATATTCGATGAATTTAGCTGGTACAACTTAACACATTAATTCATTCAGAATAACCCTTCTAGTGGATTCGCTCCCGTTTTGGGAGGCACATTTTTTTCGCTAACTCTTCTCCCATGTAACCGTGGTGTTGAACCGTAAACCAAGTGTGAAGAGAATGCGGGAAAGAAGGCACACATAATTGATGAGAAATCGCGCGACCAGACCAGTAGTGGTCAAAGAAGTGATAGATAGAGAAAGAGAGAGAGAGAGAAAGGGATCGAGCACAAGGCACATCCAGGAAGAGAAAGAGATGGAACCGGTCAAGAATGTGCGCTTCTTGGTGTGCGTGCTTAAATAGAGAGCCAAAGTGAGAGAGAGAGAGAGATTGACCGCGACTGATCGCGACCAATAGTAGCAACAACAGCGACAAGAACAACTCAGGATGAATCGACTTCGATGGTAGTTGCGGTTGATGGGGGGACGCACCGCGATCAACGGCACACGTTCTCCCCTGGGATGGCGAACATAGAAGACGGAGAAACGGTGTCAGCGCGTTGATCTTCAATAGATCGGAATTCCGAAAGGTTCAATAATGATGGGCTAGTTTTGCTTCACTCCGATGATCAGATTGAGCGCAGATTGATTGTGACCAGTGGTACCTGACGGATTCTCTCACTGTGTTCTGTGGTCTCGGTTCTAAACCCGCAAGATCGGAAAACGGCAGACGGTCTGTGTGCAAGCGTACGAGAACACGCGAAAAGCGAATGCTGGTGGATGAACCACGTAGCAGCAGCATGGTCATCGTATCCACCGTTCACCGGTAGGCACGGCAACAGCAGCAGCAGAGATGAATATTAATATTTGTTGAAATTGAATATAATAAAATACTCGAGATAAGAAAATCGCGTTATAATCGAGAATGCGGAGTCAGTGGCGTTGTGAGGGCTTTTCGTATTTTGTGATCACTGAATAACTGCATTTTCGATATTTTTAAATTAATTGCACTGTACGCTATCAGTTGGTGGTGTCTACTTGCATGGTGAGTGATGAAATCACTCCTTACTACGTCACTGCACCATGCGGAGGAAGTTTGCAGATCGGTTTGGTGGGTTACACATAATTGAAACGGGTGGCGGTAAGGGATCGAGAGACAAGTAATTTAAAATTAAACACTCACCTTCAGAATGCAGCGTCCTTTGGGTTCGTTCTCCACCACCGAGACGTTGTAGAAGCTCTGATCGAAGATCGGCTCGTTATCGTTGACGTCGTGGATTGTAACCAGCACGGTACCGGTGGAAGACATTGGCGGGAAGCCATTATCTTTCGCCACCACGATCAACTGCGGCACCGGATCGGTTTCACAGTCAATGTGCGCTCGGGTTGTTATCAACCCGGAGTTGGCATCGATCTGGAACCACTGCGAATGGGTATCGGGTGTATCCAGCAGGGAGTACGCGATGGCCGAGTTGTTGCCTTCGTCTTTGTCGATGGCAGTCACCTGGATCACCGACGTTCCCGGATCGGCCACTTCCATCACATTCGCGTGGTAGATCTCTTTATCGAAATCCGGAGCATTATCGTTGATGTCAGTAACCGTGAGGAAAATCGTTTTCGCTGCATGCAACGGCGGATTTCCGGTATCCGTTGCCACTACACTCAAAGTATAATTCGGCTTTATCTCACGATCCAACGGAAGCGAAACAATCACTAGATAAATTATGTTATCCCTCGTGGTCAACCCGAAATGACCTTCACCACCGGACAGCGTCACATTCACATTCGAATATTCCGTTTTCGAGTCGGGATCATTCACTGAAATTCTTGCGACAAACTCTCCGGGTTGGGCTGATTCTGAAATCTTCGGTGTCGCGTCATCACTCAAAAATATCACGTTTATTATCGGTTGATTATCGTTCACATCAGTCACTCGTATCGACACAAAAGCTGTAGTTTCCAGTGGTTGTAAACCGCGATCTTTCGCCACTACCACCAGTTCGTGCAGCTCCTTCGTTTCGAAATCCAGCGGCTTATTGACGGAAATCAACCCCGTGGTGGGATCTATCCGGAACATTTGATCCTTATCACTTTGCCTCCTGTTGATGGCGTACTCAACCATCCCGTTTTCACCGGCATCCTGATCCGTGGCGTAGACCTGGAGAACCGTAGTACCGATTGTGGCATTTTCCGGGACGGTGGCAAAATACCGACTCTGGTTGAATATCGGTTGATTATCGTTAACATCTTGGATCGTAATATTGACCGTCATCTGCCCCCTTAGTGGAGGACTACCACCATCCAGTGCCTCTACAACGAGACTATAAGCTGGTGTGGTTTCCCGATCGAGAAATCCGTTGATCTGTAAATCTAGATACAACACTCCGTCCCGTTCCCGATGCGACGATAACCGGAAGGCATTATTTACATTCCCAGACACGATGTTGTACCTCTGGGTGTTGTACCTTCCGAGGTCCAAATCCCTGGCCGGGTTTAGCGTTCGTTTCACATCCCGCGGAGTGTTCTCCGGAAACTCAATGTTCATAAGAGCCGTTGGAAAAGTGGGCGCATTGTCATTCTCGTCCAGCACCCGTATCACAACTCGGACGTTTTCTCCGCTCAACGGAATTGCCACTAATGAGTAGGATGATCGTTTCTCCCTATCCAGCGGGACTTTTGTCCGGATTTCTCCGGTCGTATGATCTATCGCTAGTTCCGTATCCACGGCACTTCCCGGTACCGGCACTATCAGATACGGTGGGCCACTATCGACCCCATGCAGGAATTCCCCAATGAACCCAATCTGGTGCCCAATCGGCACTCCTTCGGACACTTCCAGCTCCCGAACATGTTCGGCACTGGCTAGCCTAAATAGCCCTAATCCTATTCCTCCTCCTCCTCCTCCTCCTCCTTCTTTCCCTCCACCGCTATCGCCGGCGAAGGCACACATCATCAGTAATAGCCACAGAAGTGACATCTTCCTGTGGCGGAATCGAAAGCAGCTTTTCTTGCATGCTGTCATCCTCCTGGTGGACAGGGCGGCTGCCGACGGTGATGATGATGATGCTGGTGGTGGTTCCAATGATGACGATTGACTAGTGGCAGCAAACGGAGCGCTGCTCCGGTGGACATCACCGACGTGTGCTGGATAGTGTGATTTGCGACAGCTGGCGGCGCTGTGGCGAGGCGGGGTCCATCTCGGCGGGCGAACGTGGGACGTCGTTGTGGTGGGATCTGTGGAAAGAGATAAGAAATAGACATATGAGGATTGGATTTTTTTAAACTTTTGTTAAATTAGGCAATTTGGAAGTTTTAGAATGTTGTTTTGCAAGAGCCTTTTATGATGGCTCTAATAAGCTAAAACTAGTAATATTAATTATTATTTTATAAATCAACCAAAATTGATAAACCTAACTCTTACGTTCCAAACTGTGATAATAGGCCAAAAAACGTCTTCTTCTGGCCTGAAAACCGCAATAGAATAGCCTGAAAAAATAGCCGGCCAACACCAAATTAGACATACAAATGCTTGAATGGCTTGAAAATGGTTCAAATCTTTAAAATTACAAAGAATTATTAAAAATCTTAGCAAATCCAATCTACTCTCGTCAACAAAATAACGAGATCGGCGAAATAAAGTTAGTACCTGAAAATTTTCTAGCAACCTGAAAAATTTCTAGACCAGACAGGGAATCGAACCCAGCAACCTTCAGTATAGTCTTGCTTTGTAGCTGCGCCTTTAACGAAAGATCTAAGGGAGGCTTCATCGTCTTTACTAACAAACAGTTAAAAATAAAAGCAGACCCATATATTGAGAAACGTTTTGTTCTCATTATTTAAAAAAATTAAATGCATTGCTCAATTCTGGGTGAGGCTTACGTAATTTCAATCATATTTGTTTAATATTACCCGTTACCCCACAGTGTAAACTCGCAAATTTAAGCTGATTGACACATCTTTGTTATTGCACATACCTCTCCGCAAATATCGGACCAGGCATACAACGACGGGCGATCCATTACATTCAAATCAAATCGCAAAAACCGATTTCGTCGAATTTTGTGATGACTTCATCAAACCACTTGTCCCCATATCCTAAGTAAGAGAGATTTTTCTCGTAAAAACCAACCACTTTGCATCTTAATCAAACCCGCTAATCACCGGTCGGACATAAGCATTGACCGTTGGTTCGCAAATTTTTATTGCAGTCACCTTGCAAACCCGTCGTACTCAAGTGTGGACCAGCACCGTCGAGGCCCCATCAAACCCTCCCTCCCTTCCCATCCTTCGAACTAATGACGATCGTGTTGACGAGTTGGATCATCCAGCAGCAATACAAACACGAAGTGCAAAAAAAAAAAAAACATTTGCTCCATCCAACATCAACTTCGAACCTACTGATCGACAAAAAAAATCACTCTCTTCAGAGGGGGCGTTAAACTTTGGCATCTTTAGCCGGACCCAGGCGAACGGTTCCCTTTTTTGTGCTGCTCTCGATGAATGAGCAAAGAAAACACACAAATAGTTCTGTGTTTGTCACTGCCGGCTGGATAAATAGCCGTTCTTTATTCCGCTGGATGCCAGGAGAAATGCCACCACGATCGTCTTCTCGCTTTTTACGTTTATAATTCTATAATTAAAACTCCGTATTACTCATCTGCATGCCTGCGGCGATAAGCGAATAAATTTCGTTTCACCGCGATTGCAAAGTAGCGATGGAAGATGAATTCCAGACGGGGAATGTCACCGTCGGTTGTAGTAGAGCAACCATAAACACCCCCTAAAATATGAATAAATTTAAATGATATTCCTTTGTGCCATTTGAGCTGCTCACGATCGAATCGAGCGCTGGATGTTCTCTGCCAAACGCTGCGTGACTCGAATGCTGATGATTTGCAGTTGGCCAGGCTGACTAAACAGAAGATTCTCCTTCTAATATGTATATCTCTCGGGATCAAAGCAATCGCTAAATGCGAGAGAGGAGCATAAACTTGAAGGAATTTTATTTCGTAGCAACCATCTCATTGACTTCGTTTAGGCCTCATAAAACTCACAGCAGTAGGCGAACCCTACGGGATTCGGTCAACCCCATAAAAAGCCGTAAAAGCCGTGTGCCACAATGCATGGACTATGCGCATGAGTTGCTCATCGTGATAATCTTTGGCAGCCCCGACAGCGCCTTTTACTCCATCTTTGTCGCGGATGAGCACAAGGGAAAATCGGGATGACGACGACGACGGAAGCTTGCGAGATGAGCTCGCGCGCGACAAAACAGCACGCATCGGCCATCATCATCATCAATATCATCTCCATAGTGACGCTGCTGCTGCTGCTGCTGCTGCTGCACACTCAGCAATCAGCCATCAAAGTGGTCGTTGTCGCGAACCGTGGTCAGTCGCCGCCGCCTTCGTCGATATGGGCAGAAAGGGAGCCACACAAAATGCGTAATACGGTCTATAAAACGAGGAGCAGAGATTGAAGCGCATGATATGTATTATTTGGAAATTGATATTTTCGCCTCCAGCGATCATTATCGTTTTCATCCAGTCTGTTTCACCGAGATGCAGCAGCAACTGCAGCCGCAGCATCCTTTTCCGATCGGTATTAGTAGCTGCTTGTGTGTGTGTGTTGTTTCACAAGTTCTTGCTTTTTGCGCGTATCCCATGCGTCAGTCATTCAGTCAAAGAAGGAACGCAGCAACATGTGCAACGATTCATCTCGCTCGGGAATACACTTAATTGCTAAATTGACAGTTATTTTCGGTTCTGCTTTTTTCCGGCTACGGCTGAGCACATCCAGGTAGCCATGGATTTTTTTTGTTTGCATCACTTGGTTCGGTGCGGTGAAAGAAGAAATGCTTAAGTGACACATGTCTTGCATTGTTTTTCACATCATCGCAGAGCGATTGGGGTTTAAGCGTTCGAATTCGATGGAACATTTGGAAATTCGTTCGTTTCTGACCAAAATAAATGCTTTCGTTCGAGAGTAAATACATATGCTCGGCTATATGCTTCGTCGTAACGAGATGGTTTTTCTCTCTGGGATTTTTTTAACACAACCAGGGCATCATCCTTTCGCAATAAATCCATTTATATAATTTTGATCCAAAATTGAAAGCACTTACATTAGAAAAGGAAATTTTTCCAAACCAATCAAAGCCAATGAAAAGATAAACTCAAATTGGTACAAAGAAGGAACTATCTCAAAGCCAAAGTTAAAAGCACCTTTAGTCGGAGGATCGGAATTTATAAACCAACAAAAACCAGATACCTAGTTTTTGGAAAGTGAAATTTTCTATTTTGGTTAAAATTTCGGCATGCTCGAAAATAGTACACCGTTTTACCAATTCTATTTTTGGAATTGAAATCAGTTTCTCAAGTTAAGTGAAAAGCACTTTCGCTTAAACCCAATAGGGCTCTTTAACTTGGCGTTCAGAAATAATCTTCAACACCTTTGCCACAAAAGCAGCGATTTAAGTATACTAATCAATAGCTGGTTAATCATTTCTGTACTCTTGCTTCGAGCGATTTCCCACACCATCATCATCGGTGGTGGTAGCTAAAACGTAGTTCATCGCACTGCAAAATCATGACCTTAAAACATCCAACCTAAAATATGTAGGCTAATTTGAGCCCTCAAAAAGCAACCGAAGTAGCTCACTTTCCGTTTTTTTCTTCACCACCGTTTTTCTAGCTAAAACGTGAAAATAGTTTATCAAAAATTATGGCTGCTGCAAAAAGCTGACCCCAACTTTCGACGCTACGTTTCTCCCACTATTAGTACCATCCACCACAAGGTGGAAGTGGATCGCGCGCACGCTTAATTGAACATTAGCGCCAAAAAAGCCACTTCTTATTCTTCAGTGCCTACGGGGCTTCTCGAAAAATTACCTTTTTTGCCAGGGATCTCTTGAGAAAAAAAAAAAAAAAAGTTAGTACTCAGCAGCAAAAAATGCCAGCATGTTCAGTTCACCCTTCGCCGAGAGCAGGAACATTCCGAAAAGGTTGAAATAATGAAATAAATTATAAATTACGAATAATTGTTGGTGATTTCCCCTTTCTGGGTTTCGACCAGTAGCCAGGCAACACGCTCAAGGTTAGCTAGATTAGCTTCGTTGGCAATTATCATTCCATTAGGTATCTTCGATTGAATCTCACCGGAGATCGTTTAGCGTCGGTTTGGGCGGGGGAGGAGGGTAAAGCAAAGCAACCCATGTTTCTAAAAATATATTTACAATCGACATGGACCAGTGTTTTGAAAATTTTCACTGTCCATTACGGTTAAGTTCAAACAATGGGATAAAATTTCAATTCCAAAGGAACTCATCTGCATACCACGAACGAACAGAGCCACAGTAAGTAATTTCCTTATTGCATCTTAATGAGAGCCACTCAGCGGACGGACGGAGTCAATGCTTCTTTGCTTGTTCGGTTTGCTGCCGAGTGCGCTATTCTGTCCATGCGAATACAATTATTAGCAGATATCTCACGTATTTCCAAGTGGCGGCGGGTCCGCTAGCAGTGGACTTGAAACCTTAGAACACTGCTAGCGGACCGTTCGTTCGCACGACTATTCCGCTATGCTCAACTCTGTGTGTGCCTACTGACCAGTGATGCCAATATTCCAGATTAAAGTGGACTTTTTTTTTCTACAGTTTTTATGGACGTATTCTAGTTTCTTGAGAATTCATCCATGGTGTTTTCATAGTGTTTATGGTGTTGAGTACTTGGCACTGATGACGAAATATGCGTATCTGTCAAAAGATAAGCAATTATAACGGAGTTAAAAGGAAATAAATCAAAACACTCAAACACTTCATAAATACATCCAGTTTTTCATTATTGCGAGCAAAATATTTCAAAGTATGATCACAGAATGATTGTGAAATGTGCACTTTAATCTTCTATATTGCTGGGTGATCAATAAACCGGGAAAACCACGAGAACCGGGAAATATCCGAAAATTGAAAGCAGCCGGAAAAATACTGGGAATGTAATTGGAACCTTACAACATTCTTTTACACCTTCGATTAGGCTAATAAATATTCTATGTCCGATATTTCGAAGGTTTTCTTAAAAATCTTGAATATTTCATCGAGTGAGGGAATTTTACATTTTCATAATACAGGATAACAAAAATAAAGTCTGAGTCTGAAAAAAAAAAATTGACGATGTCCCAGAGTCTGGCATTTTGAATATTATTGACAATTTAAGAACCTAAACAACTTTTCATAA